GTCGAGGTCAGCCAGACCAATCCAAGAGCCCGGCGAGCCGCATTGTTTGGCTCGGGTCAAAGAAATCACGCGGAAACGGGGTGAAGTCCAGGTCGTCTATCGCGTCAATGCCGCCAATAATCCCCTTCGACCGTACCTGAGCGACAAGGCCATCGTCTATGGCGTACAGATTCAGTCTCTGACGCCCTTGGAGAGAGAATACGGCGCATTGATGGCATTGCAGTACTACGACCTCTGTGAGGAGATCATCCGGGCAAAACCTTCGCCGATATTAGACTATGCGGATGAAGTGTTGGGGCCGATCAAGAGAATCTATCATGTGAACCTTGCACAGGCCAAGGCTGTGAAGTCCGCACTGGACAACGACGCCTTCACCTTGATTCAGGGTCCACCTGGGTCCGGCAAGACCAAGACTATTTGCGCGCTGGTCGGCGCCATGTTGACGGGGTTCGTCAAGCAGCCGAGCACCGGTCCCAAGCTCAGCACGACTCAAGGTGCACCTCGGCCCCCGCAAGCCAGCAAGAAGTTGCTCGTCTGCGCCCCCAGCAATGCCGCCGTTGATGAACTGGTGATGCGATTCAAGAGTGGTGTCACAATGCTTGATGGCTCGTTCGAGAAGGTGTCTGTTGTCCGCTTGGGTCGTAGTGAGGCCATCAACAACAACGTGAAAGACGTGACTCTCGAGGAGCTTGTCAACGCTAAACTCGCTACCGCGGCGCCCAAGGGTCCTGGAGAAGACGTCCATTCGTTGATGATGGAGCATAAACAGGTGTCTGAAGAGCTGAGACACTTGCGGGACAACGTCAGCGAACGTCGAGGCAAAGGTGAGACATCGTTGTTGAAGGAGGAACAGCTCATGGACGCTCTTATACGTAAGCAGAGAGGGTTGGGCGGCAAGATCGACGACATGAGAGAGAAGCAAAACACGGCATCTCGAGACATGGATCTCACACGGAAACGGGTTCAACAGGAGATCCTCGACGGAGCTCACGTTCTTTGTGCCACCTTGAGCGGGAGCGGTCACGAGCTATTCCAAGGCCTCAACATCGAATTCGAAACGGTCATCATCGATGAGGCTGCGCAATCCATTGAGCTGTCGGCCTTGATCCCTCTCAAATACGGCTGTTCAAAATGTATCCTCGTCGGTGACCCGAAGCAATTGCCTCCGACGGTGTTGTCCCGCACGGCCGCCAAATTCCAGTATGAGCAAAGTTTATTCGCTCGCATGGAGAACAACCACAAGAAGGACGTGCATCTGTTGGACACGCAATATCGTATGCATCCCGAGATCAGTCTATTCCCGAGCAAGACATTCTACGACTCTCGGTTGAAGGACGGCGAAGGCATGGCCAAGCTCCGAAGAAGACCATGGCATCACAGCGACGTCTTTGCGCCGTACCGGTTCTTCGACGTCCAGGGCACGAGCCAGGCAGCAACAAAAGGCCATTCTCTGGTCAACCCTGCTGAAATCACGGTTGCGATGCAGATATATAGGAGACTGACGACAGACGTTCGCAAGTACGACTTTGCTGGAAAGATCGGCATCATCACGCCATACAAGGGTCAGCTGAAAGAACTTAAGCGGCGCTTCCAGAACGAATACGGAGAAGGCATATACTCCAAGATTGAGTTCAACACGACCGACGCCTTCCAAGGTCGAGAGAGCGAAATCATCATCTTCTCGTGCGTCAGAGCTTCCACAAAGGGCATTGGGTTCTTGAACGATATTCGACGCATGAACGTCGGTCTGACTCGTGCCAAGTGCTCGCTGTGGGTATTGGGTAACTCTCAGGCGTTGACGCAGGGCGAATTCTGGCGTGCCTTGATCACGGATGCCAAAGACAGGAACCTCTACACAGACGGTGACATTGCCAAGCTGCTCAACCGGCAAGTATTAAGTGAGGACATGATGAAGGATGACATTGAGATGATCGATTCCAGCGAGTCGTTGTCTGAGACAATGAAAGGCTCGACTCACTCTGGAGGATCTTCCACCGCCAATGCCGCCTTCAAGGAAACCTCTCCGACGTCGGTGAAGGGTGTCCGAGACGCTGCTCGATCGGCTGGCACATCAAATCAAAGCACTCCTTTACCCTCCAGACCGAACAGCGTCCTCTCAAGGCAGTCTTCGACTTCTTCGGTCACCAAACCCGAAGCCCGGCGGCAGGACTCCGCCCAGTCGATAACGAGACAAGGGTCGACGAGAGAGGAATCGAGCCGCGTGCAGCACGCTCCGCCAAGTAGACCGCAACTAGAGCCCAGGACGCAATCCTCCTATGCTGCAGCTGGTGCAAGCGATTACACTCCTTCCGGCGGTGCCAATGGACTCAACGATCTTCGTAATTGCGGGATCTGTGGATCATACGAGCATTTCAGCTCCGCTTGTGACAACGAAGCCGCCTTGGTCGATCAATACGGGAAGTGCCGGCGATGTAATGGCACCGGACACACCCTGACCAACTGTATTGATCCTCGCTGCCTGTCCTGCGGTGAGGTCGGCCACTCCGTGGATCAGTGCCGAGCTCCACTTGACAAACGACTAGGCAAGGCACAGCAGGAGAAGCTTCGCCAAGAGGAAGTCCGGTATGGGATCATGCGCGACAAGGCGCGGCAGCGACGAGCAGAAAAGGAACATGAAGCGCACACTATCCCGACCATCAAGAGTACAGTCTCGACTCTCGGCAGAGGCGATGGAGCCAAACGCAAACGCGACCTGTCCAGCAGCTCCTCCGACAGAGCGAAGGTACCGCGAACCAACCAGGAAAGCAGGTCTCCAGGCATGACCAACAAGGAACAGCCCCGTGTTAGTGCCCCGACTGGTCCTCGAGACGCGGTTGGGCCCGGACGACCTCCTCCCGGATCAGCTGGTATGCCGCCACGACCCTCGGGACGCCCTGGCATGCCAAACGGTGGAGCGCCAATGGTGAGAAAGAAGAAGGTGAACGCTGAGGACATGTTTGTAAAACGAAAATAGAGCTTCAGTCGTATGCATTAAGCGCAGCACGAGCTGGGAGGATTTTTGCGTCTCTTTTTTTCCTTCTTTCGGCTGGATATGAAAAGGAAAGAGCATGCTGCTGATCAGACCCCTGTGTCTCGATTTCATGTGACGGTGCACGAAAGACCGGTTACATGCCGGCTGGGAGATGAAAACTATCGGAGGGAGCATAGCGAGCATAGCATAGCATAGCATAGCGACAGGCGTCCAAACGTGAGGTGGTGATGGAACGCATGGTCGCCTCCTCATGAGGCGTGCACTGAAGCCGGTCGGTTGAGAATGTCACTGACTGGGACAGACGCGGCGGGTCAACTCGCAATCGCGTGTAGAACCCCCCCCCCCCCCCCCGCCCCCGGGGTCCATCCCTGCGTTCCCTCTACATGGCGTGCATGTGAAGCTCGAGATTGAAATGGAACGTGTGTGACGAGGAAGACAGCGCAAACATCTTCGCATCAGGCTCGGAGGTCGTGCCTGCGACGGTCCCTGACGGCGATACGTACCACTACAATACTGAACCGCCCCATATGCCGGGTTCGGACCCGTGACCAGCGCCCATATTCGACGACGCCTAGGATGGCCACAAAGCCGTGAGGGACCTACTTACGACCTGACGCCCTAAGGAACCTGCAATTACGAGGAGGTGGGCATGGAGGGAATCTCGCATTCCCTTGGGATAGATGGAATGTGAGATAGACAGATTGAGATGAACCCGACCTTTTGCCGCGAGAGGTGCGTCAGCATTTATCTGAGCGAGAAGTGAGGAAAGAGGATCTGTGCTTTACGTTTCGTCATGTAGATGGGACTGTGTTGTCTGTACTCGTACAAGTCTATTCAGGCATGGCTAGCAAGGGGAAATAGCCGCGAAAAGTAGTCTGCAAAGGAGTTACTCTAGGTCAGCGTGGGACCGTTTTGACCGCTGGAAAGGGCCCCCGTGGCTGCATATTGCTATGTCTTTCCCGGGTTGCAGCAGTAAATTGTGACGGGTTATAAAAGCGTCCCTGGTCCATCCGCGGTGGCACGGTGGTGCCACAAGTTAGAGGGCAAAGGCTCCGGTTGTGACGGACAAATTGATCAAGGAACACCAGATGTCCTACAGGGAACGTAGGCTGCATGGTGCCGTCGGTCTCCTCGGGTCAAAGCGGTCAACACTGGCTGAAATTTCGGTGGCTCTATTCGGTGACGCATGATGTCCTCTGTACGCGAGCACATCTAGAAAAGAAGATGGGTCGCACTCCAACCTCGCTACGTAGGGTCCTCACACCGTATTCACGGTCCTGTCCCGCGATTCGACAGTGTAAGTCCGACGGTGTTGATCCCGAGAAATGTCACTGACAGAGCGTAGAACATGGCGGCACGACTGGAAGAACTGTCACAGTACGACGACCTCAACACCGAAAGAGGTAGATCCTTGTTCATCGTCCTCGTCGTGGAGTACATGAGATACCTCAAGTCAGGTCCGGCCAGACTGGCCGACTGGGATGAACCGACGGAGATGGAGATGGAGATGGCCCGCAAGCTCCTCAGGATGATCGACCACGATCGCGCCTGGCCTTTTGCCAGGCAAGTCGTCCAAGATTTTCGGACTCTTGTGTGAGGACACCTGACCCACGTGCTCGCACGGGCGGCTACTCACCACGATCCTAGGCAGGCCACCGACACTCTTCCATACCCGCTGATATACGTCGTGGAAGGCGTCGGTGCTCCCGCCCAGCCACAAAAAGGAAGAAGTGGTGAGGGCGTCGACGACACTTGCGCAGGCACAAGATGTATTATTAGACTTGGATATTGGCAATCTGTAATCGGACAAGCTATCCTATTTGAACGCTAGGTAAGGTAGGTAGAAAAATAATCCGTAGGGCATAAAGGCCCTAAGTTATGGGCGGAGCTAATAAGGTTAGGCGGGAAAGGGTCATGGTTGACCCGGCTCATCTTTTTGGTATATAAGTTTTTTGATCGAAAATCCAAACCAAATACAACAACAACAACAGCTCTACAAGAGTTGGATGCGCGTTTGGTCTAGTGGTATGATTCTCGCTGTATGTATACACTCGAATCAGTCCTTATATCGAGCAACAACTAACAACCGCACAGTAGGGCTTACTCTAAGCATAAATGCGAGAGGCCCCAGGTTCGAACCCTGGAACGCGCCCACTTTTTTGATCTTTTTTGATCACATACGAGGTACGGAGTACGGAGTACAGACTCCCCTCCCCACATCTAAGCCTCGATCAACAAGACCAGGCTCCGGTCAGGACAATCAAAAAGGAGAGGAGTCGACGATTCACTCATTCTTTCTCTTATGTCTAGGAGAAACCGCTGTCCATGCACACATCTAGGAACCCTGCCACAAGTTACTTTTCGGTATCGAAGGACCAGCTGAGATGAGAAGACAGATGTTTTGAGCGGCGGTCCTAGATATCTCGATGCATCTGCCAGGCCATGCGGCGTAGGACGGACTCGGCTCTGGGACGGCGCACCCAGTGTGGCCAGTTCGAGCAGTTTGCGGAAGGGAGCATATGCAGAGGGTTGAATTGTCTGTCTGGTTTTATGTACAATCGCCTCTTCGTCCTTACATATGCATAATCGAGATGCACAGGACGTCCTCCTTTTGTGCTGTTCAGAGGCCCACCCCATCCCGTTGCGTCTCATTATCACCCCTCGGAAAGCCCGGTGAAACATCATCGAAAGATGAGACTGAGTAGACCTGACTTCTCAGTATAGATTCACGCAGTGCTGTGACAATGGTGGTAACGAATGTTTCATTGGGCATTCCGTTCAACACCCAGAACACATGGCAGTCTCGAGACTTCCCCGCCCCCAGGAGCCGTGTCCCACCGCATCAATTGATTGATCCATATCATTACACTTGTTCTAGCCTCTTAGGGGCGGTCGAATGAAGGGGGCGAAAAGTCGACGGGGCCGAAGAGGCGTCAGAGAGACATCGGCTGGCACGCCGTCAAGTCAAATCGACTCGTCGGTATCAGGATAGGAGCTGACTGTGAAGCTGTGAAGCAGGCCTCGTAGTGGGTTTAAAAAGCGCCATGGTCTTGGTGAGTAGCAGGATGATGTTCTTTTACAGAAAGCTCGTTATATGAGGTACAATTGTGGTATGGCGTTAGGTTCACACAAGCAGAGTAGATAGACTGTAGGAAAGCCGGCCGCGGTTGCCATGGAACCACAACATGAGCTCGGAACGGTTTTCACTTGTCTTTATTCGCCATGGCCGACCTCAAAACTCACCAAATGCGGACAGTGCAAACATCAAGCCAAAGCTGATCTTGAAAGCCAGGTTGTCATTGATGGCACTTCGCAAATCGATGTTCGTAAAATATCTCTGCAGTCGATCCACTGGGATCAAGTTATATCCTCTTCGCGCGGCCAGTTGCCATGCTACGATGCCCAATCCAATCAACAATGTCAGGCTCGTCGAGAAGGCGGAAACAACCAGTCCGGCACCCAAGCCTAGGATTGAGCCCAGACTTATTTGCTTGACGGCAGCGGGGTTGAGCGACCGGCCATCTCTTGTGAGGGGGTTCTTAGCGTTGCGGGAATGCGAGTAGGGCGAGCTGCTGAACTCTGCAGCTGGAGGAGAGGAGGGTGATGAGTCGAGGCGGATGAGGGAGGACGGTTGGATGAAAGGGAGCGAGGCGGTGAGGCCGAAAGCGACGAGTACAGGGCGCTTCAAGGCCGTCCGAGATACTGGAGCGGGGATCGATCTGGCAATCGAAGGGAAAGAAAATGAGGTGCGTGCGAGAGGTCGAAGAATCATCGTTGTGATGGTGTGGGCAGCCAAGGGGAGCGACGTGATGAGATCCAGGGGGTCAATTGTGTCTGACCAAGCGAAGGCACTGCAATGAATTGGTGATGAACGCTATGAAGCAACTGACGGCGTGGCAATTGTCAAAATCGACAGGCTGGTAAAAGACGGAGCGGAGCTGGGCTTCTGAGGCCCCGTGTGAGTAGGTGGTGAGGTGAGAGTGAAGAGATGATGTCATCCAATTCTCGGCGGGAGGCTCGGTGAGGACGGATTGCTTTCATTTCCGCCAACCTCGACCAGCAGAGAAGTAATATCGAAACAGCCCACTTGGGATCCAGCCAGAGTGATTACGATAGCCTTTGCGAGCACTCTCTCAGGTGATTTTGTTTCAGCAGATTGGCCCCCTCGACCCCTTCCCGACCCGCTGCCGGACAGTCAACCACTACGGCAACACCCCAGGCATGCATCATCCTGCCTCGCTAAGTCCCGGAGACGCCCAAGGGAGAGCCCAAGTCTCGCCGAAAACCATGCGGCAGTACGATCATGGGCCGACCGTGTACTCGTACAGGCTGACTCTTCCCCACCTCCCGCACCGTGCAAGTGCTGTGGATCCGGGGAAGGGGGTTTTCCCGAGAGCACGGCGAGACCTGATCGAACGGGTATATTACACCCACAATAACACGAAGATAATGGCAGAGTTTTCTTCCAAACTTCACATCTTCTGCCTTTGTCTCATTCTCCGAGAACTGTCAGTCTACATCTCGTCACGGTTGTCAATATGTCGGACTCGGTGGTTCCCAATGGCGTTCCGGAGATCAAGTCGAAGATTGTTGAAACGCCGTTCCTCATTGTCGGGGCCGGCCCAGCAGGTGGCTCGCTGGCATGCTTCCTCTCATACCCACCCTACTCCATGACGGGCATCTTGATCTCTGCTGCGCCAACCACATCTCCAACGCCCAGGGCGCATATCACCAATCCGGCCGCCTTTGAGTGTCTCAGAGACATCGAGCTAGAACAAACATGTCTGAACCAGGCGGTGGAGGGTGACTGCATGGTCCACACCCGTTGGTGCCATGACATGACCGGGGAGGAATATGGCCGCATCTATTCTTGGGGTAACGATCCGAAGCGCCACGCAGAGTACGAAGAAGCGACTCCTTGTCATCATGTCGACCTCCCCCAAACCATATTCGAGCCCATTCTGGTGCAAAGAGCGTCATCCCAAGGGTGGGACGTCAGGTTCCGAACCAGCATCGTCGACTTCAAGAAGGAAGAGGATGGCAAGATCCTCAGCCGAGTGCGCGATGGGCTGACACAGACCGAATACTTCATTCGCTCACAATATCTGTTCGGATGCGACGGCGCAAGAAGTCAAATCATCCGCGAATTGAAGATTCCTCTGATCAAGAAGCCCGGCCAAGGTCTGGCCATCAACGTCTTGGTCAAGGTGGATCTGAGCGATTACGTTGAAGCCAGAAAAGGTAACCTACATTGGGTATTCCAACCTGAACGGGAGTATCCCGATTTCGCCTGGAGTGGTCTGATCAGGATGGTGAAGCCGTGGAACGAGTAAGATGCCAGCTCCCGTGTCCGAAAGAGTTATCTATCACTAATCACTGTCCCTAGGTGGATGTTTATCCTCTTCCCCAAGCCCGGCACCGAATGGAAGGAGCCTACTCACGAACAATACTTGCAGAGATGCAAAGAAATCGTCGGTCGAGACGATATTCCACTGGAGATCCTTGATATCTCAAAATGGAACATCAACGAGATCGTCGCGGAATACTACTCCGAAGGCAACGTTTTCTGTCTGGGAGACGCCGTGCACAGACACCCCCCTTTCAACGGTCTTGGCTCGAACACCTGTGTGCAGGATGCCTTCAACCTGGCATGGAAGATCAAGTACGTCCAACAAGGGCTGGCCTCGCCCTCCATCCTCGAGACATTCAGCCACGAACGACAACCGGTCGGTCTGGGCGTAATCACCCGGGCGAACCAGGGTATCCGGGACCACGTCCCCGTGTGGAGAGAGATGGGTCTGATGGAAGAGACGGTGGAGAAGAGGATGAAGATCTTCAACAGCCTGAAGTCCGTGTCGCCCGAAGCTCGAGAGCGGAGAAAACGGGTCAACGCGGCCATCGAGGGCACCAGTCACGAATTCCATGGCATTGGCGTGGAGATGAACCACAGTTACGACTCTGCGGCAGTGTACCTGGACGATGAAATCAAGGCCAGCACCCCGAAACCTGAATGGCCGGAGGACCCGATCCTACACCACAAAGCCAGCACCTACCCGGGCCACCGGCTGCCACACGCGTGGCTGAACAAGACCATGCCAGTCAAGGACCATGTCTCGACGATTGATCTCGCTGGCCATGGGAAGTTCTCGCTGATCACCGGCATTGGTGGTGATAAATGGATCGAGGCCGCGGACAAGCTCGGCAAGGAGCTTGGGATCGAGATCAGCACACATACCATCGGCTGGGGACAAGAGTGGGTTGATGTTTATCGCGATTGGTAAGTCTCTCTGTGACCCACTCCGCATCGAAGACCCATGCTAATGTGACTCGTAACAGGGAAAGAAAGCGAGAAATCGAAGAAGATGGATGTGTCCTCGTCAGACCTGACCGATTCATCGCCTGGAGGTCGATGACTGTCCGGGACAACTGTGAGGAAAAGCTGGCGGAAGTCTTGAAGAAGGTTCTTGGGCGATCATAACGAGCAGCTAGCTAGCCGCTTTTCCCTTATGTTTGAAAGACCCTTTCAGCAGCACTCGAGATTGCTTCCTATTTTAGCGTTGGGGAGATGTGTACTGTTGGCTGATTGTGGGCGTGGCACATACGCGCATTGTATATACGGAGATGTTTCGCAAGGCTGCTCAGCGGGATGTTGCGGATAGAATGTCCACAACAACACCGGCAGCAGAACCCTAAATGCTTTTCCCATACACTGTAAACGGTCGCGCGCACTCGGAAAATCTCCAGCAGCGATAACTGGACCAAGATACGTGCAATAGTACGAAATACAATTTACAGCATCCTCGAACGCGTCGCTTGGATTGATGCCTTGGGGTGTTTGCCCTGCTGACGGGTGGAGACCCACCGCTAAGTACTGTGAGGACCACTAAGCTTAAAGCTTGGCCAGTAGGAGTATATTTGTGCTCTATATTTATAACTTACAATTTTCATCCCAACAATCAGCACAGAGAATTCCTTCTCCCTGATTTGCGCATCAGTGGTTTAGTGGTAAAATCCATCGTTGCCATCGATGGGCCCCGTGTTCGATTCACGGCTGATGCACATACCAACCATTGAGCCCTTTCTTTTTTCTTTTTTTTCTTGTTTTGTTTCTACGTCTAGGCCTCCTTTTCGTGGGAGAAGGATTATATTACA